GCTAGAGGCGGCAGAGTCTGATAGTGTCTGATTCCGAAGGCCATGTTTCTGCACATCGTCCTCTGTGTGACAGGGAGTGACCCAGGCCCACAGGTAGCTCCCTCCGGCGCCAGCAGTTACTGTGTTCAGGTGTTTACTTTGCATGCTGAGTAGTTTCATAGGGAGCTGCTCTTAGGAACATGAAAGGAAAAATGTGGACCCACTGTACCTGCCGCCCACACAGCCCAGGCCTTTCCCTGCAGCCAGTTCCCTCCTGCCCCCAAGAGTGAACAGCCAGGAAGGGAACCCGGCAGAAGGATGGAGGCTCCTGGAAAGGGGGAAGAGGACAATATGACCTCTGACCCCAAAGCAGAGCCATTGTCACAAAAATACCTGCTCTTCACAAAACAATTCTGTTTGAAAAGAGATTTTGGAAAGGCTCATGCTCCCCAGTTCTGAGGAGGCTCCCCCTAAGATACTTCCTCTTCGCAGCAATGGAAAGAGGATTTGTCTTTGCCTTGCATGGAACGGCTCTGAATCTCAATCCTTCTGACATAATTAGCGGGCCCATCCTGATCCTGCCCACGAGTGAAGCCAGGCTGGGCCCAGGGAGGGCGGGGAGGAGGAGGAGGCGGATGCCAGGCCTACCGAGCATTCTCCTGGGAGCCTCCATCATCTGCCCTGGCCAGAGCAATGGGGAAGACTGGCAAAGCTGGTGACCTGTGGTGACATCCAGAGACACACTGACCTCACTGGAGTCTGTCTTCCCAGGCACAGACAGACTCAACAGGGCTGGACTGGGAAGATGATTCCGGGGGTGGCAGGTCCCCACTTTGACCACCATTTGTGGGGACGTGAGCACAGCAGTAGACGAAGTGGCTGAGGGAGCACAAGCTGCGTCCACTGGATGGGGCTGTGAGGAGTGCCAGGACCCAGGACTTCCTGCAACCCCACCCACCACCCCCGGAGCAGCAGCCTCCCCCAGGGTGGGACAGTGCCTGGCGTGTTTACACTGACCCTCGCTCTTTTCCCTTCTCCGGAGAGAACACGCACTTTCACATCTGCTTCAGGTGCAATGGCGTGGCGGGGGTGTGCGGCCGTAAAAGACCCGTGTTTATTCTACATGGACTTCTCCAGCTCGGAAATCAGGAACGTGCTTGCAAGAGGGTCACAGCTGAGGCTACTGTGGGTCTGTCCATCCCCCTCCTTTCTCCTACGGGCCCTGGGGTCCCAGGAGCCACGAGGAGGGCCACCTGCCCTGCCAAACAGGCCATGAGCACCTGCCCTGGACGCTGCCCACCCGAGCCTGCCGGGTCTGCAGGTTCGGAGTCCCTCCCCTGAGCCTGAATGTAGCTGCGGGTTCTCAGCTGTGGGCTCCCTGAGCAGATGGGGCAGGAGGCCTCGCTTCTGCTTCACAGGTCTGGAACCTGGGGCCTGCCCAGCTGTGCGGCCCCGGAGCTGGGACTTTGGCTCGGGTTTCTCCCTCCTGGGCCAGTGTCTGTCCACACTGAGCGAAGTCACAGCACAGGGCCTGAGGATAGCCCCGTGGCCATTCCTGCCACGCATTGGCCGTTGTCAGAATGCGAGCAGGCTGCTGGGTGCCATATCCCAGGCCTTCCTGTCTCAGAGTTCTTCCTGGTGGTTCTGTTGGCTCTGCCTGGGGGGACTGTCCTCTGGGATGAAGATCCCACCCACGGCGTGTCCAGAACTCCCTGTTCCTCCCCAGGCCCTGGACAGCTTTGCTTCTGGACAGCTTAAAATGGACTCGGCCAGCGCGCCGCTGACTGGCTGCGTGAGCCGAGCTCACGGGATCAGATCCCTCTCCTGCCTCCCCAGCCAGGACCCAGCACCAGGAAGTGGGATCTGAAATCTCCTCTGATTTAACAGTGTTGTGAGGCCTAGGCCGTGGCGGGATGGTTGTAGCAACACACGCTTTCACAGAACCAGGCAGACACCATGTGCTCAGCGTGGGTCAGGCCCCGGGGCAGCCAGGAGGATACTGGTGTGGAGGGAGGAGGCAGGGCCCTGTCCTTCAGGTAGGGGATGGAATAAATGGTGGTTTTACCACCTGTAGGCAACATTGGCCACATACTTGTCTGAACTTAAAGATGTTTGAGATGTATATAATGTGATTAAGTGCTAACTACAGACTATCCAGAACATGGAGAGAAGGAAAGAGGTGGCCATACTGGGACTTCTCGGAGGAGGAGAACTTGGATTAAAATAGTGGGCTTTTTAGAATCCTCAGAACCCTTTCTTTTTTTCTTTTCTTTTTTTCTTTTTATTAAATTATTATCTGTGTGTACATATTTTATGATACCATTGCCCCCTCCCCCCCAGATGTTGGAGGGAAAAGGGTGAGTCCCAGCAGCCTGTCCTGCAGTTCAGGGAGCTGCTAATGTGCGTCTGGGCAGTGCATGCGGAGGGTGACAGGGTGAAAGGTGGCACGCACAGGCATTTGCACTGATGCTCAGCACAGGCATTTGCACTGATGCTCGGGACCGGCTTGCTGTTGAGGAAGGTCTCACTGGCAGTGCTGCACAGCGACACCAAGGAAATTTCAGGAGCTAATCTGGAGCCTCCAGGATCCTGGAGTGAAAGGTCTGAGCAGCCCAGAGAGGATGTGCTTGGGTTGAGAAATTCTGCTCTGGGTCACTCATGCTGATGGAATGTCAGCAGCCTATGTTGGTGGCAGTCACTGTCACACCAGCTCATTTCTGTTCCAAGCACATGATTGGTCAGGTCTGCCACGGCCCCCTCCTGGCTCTCGGGGATGCAGGGAGCAGAAAGGGCAGGCTCCCTAGCAGAGGGAGATGCTAAAGAGGAGACTGGGTGTTAGGGGAATGCTGCAGGGCTGGTCTACCCAGAAGCTGTCGGTGAAACAACCCAGAGACCTGACCTGGGGACTCTGCTGGGAGGGACAGCCTTGACATGGACTTGAGCCTGGATATTTCCTCCTCCTCCAGGCGGGCTTTCACTCTTCACCCACATCTGCAGCTCCAGCCACTGTCCCCTGCCAGGCTTCTCCTCTTTCCCCCATTCCTCACTGTCTCCCATCTCACCCTCCTTTTTATCAAATAACAGCAAGAACCCTTCTCTGTTTTTTTCTGGCACTGAGTCTGATCCGAAAATCCAGCAGTTGAGTCTCTGGGCAAGTTGGCATTTGTAATGCTACTGTTACCTCGAAGGCAGAAGCTCTCCCGCGTCATGTTCCCTCAAGCACAGACTCCCAGCGCCTGTGGAGAGTTGGCCCTTTGGAGATCTGGGAAAGGGAGGCAGGGGTGGGAGGGCCCACCGGGGTGCTGAGACCACACTCGGCTCAGGCCTGTGTGGGCCACACTGTGGGGTCATGGTTTATGCCGTGGGGACTTAGTAGGTCAGCAGGCATCCTGAGAGTCTGGGAAGGCTCCCTGAGGGAGGTGGGGCTTATAGTCCGTCATGGGGAATGGATAGAAATGGAGAGGAGAGGCCATGTGGAGGTGGGGGGTGGCACCCTACGAGCAGGGTACCAGAGACACGTGGCATGTTTGAGGAAACGTGAGAAGGAAAACTATGCTTGCCCAGACCCAAATTCCCTCCTCTAAAAACCTCCTCTGGGGCACATTCCACCCTCTTCATTCTCTTATCAACAAGTCACAATCTGATTAAAACAAGGTATGCAGAGAAAGGATCAAAGTGAGGCCATCAAAGTCCTTTGTGAGCCTGGAGGCACAGGTCTCAGTAATTATGGGGGTAGATTGGGGGGGTGGGGGGATGGGTGTGTCCCCTGAGTGAGGGTGGTCAGAGGGGAAAGTTCCCAGATGCATACCTGGCTTCCCTGTGCGGGGCCAGCCCCTGCTGCACCCTTAGGTCCCAGGGATGCTCCTTCCCTAGATGCAGGACTGAGCTTCCATGAGGGCCTGTGTGCCCACCTCAGATGGACTGGCAGAACCACCCAGCAGCAGTCAAGTTCAGGGCCCAGCAGCCATGCTGGGAATAAAAGGGTCTCATTGTTCACCTCCCGGTGAGAAGCAGGAGTCTCGGTCTTGTCTGGGCCTTCGTGGCTTCAGCCAGTCTGCTGGTGTGCATCCATGTTGCGGGCAGTACCCGTGATAAGAGTGCAGTATCGCCATACCCACTGGTAAATAGCCACTTAAACCTCCTAAGTGTCCCCAGCTCTCCCAACAACCAAAAGTCTAACCCCTGGCACTGCATGGTGTCCAGACCCTACCCAGTCCTGGCGGGCCAGTCTTCCGAAGGTCTCTGCTGTTGCATCAGTTCTTTCCCTCAGGCCCCTCCGAGGGCCACATCCCCACACCATTCTTACATCAGAGGACTTCCGGTTTTCCGCTTGAAAGGGATTCTGTGTTAGCTCTCTCCCTTTGCATGGTAACTGTGTTCCCAAATGGTGACTGAACAGGACCTCAAGGAGCTTTCATCCTGTTGACCAATGAAGAATTCTCTGATAAAATCAAATATGGGTATTCTCCCGTATGTATCCTGGATCAGGAAACAAAGTCTGTAATTCAATTGAGGAGATGCTAATTGAGCAGCTGGCAAGGTAGGAAGCAGGACTCTGCCCTTTAGTGACCTTAACTGGCTGAGCCTCTTTCTTTGACTCGGAGTTGCTTTCTGAGTCTGCCTCTCATACAAGGCCCCATTGTGGGCCTGTGCCACTTGTCAGATAGATAGCCACGTGGTCAATGAGGATGTGCAAACCAAACAGGACTAGTAAGCACACTTGGCAGTGTCTCGGAGGGTGGAGCAGGATAGGCTCTGATCAGGCAACAAGAGGATGAGCAGTGTGGATGCTGGCGAATGCAGAAGAGCGCTTTGTGCATTGGCATAGAGTATGGAGAAACTGAGCACGGAGAGAGCTCGTGATCCGGGGGTGTAGCCGAGGCCACCATGTTTGTGGTCATTCTGCCTGCTGGGGGCTGGGGACTGCTCTGGTAGAGCCGAGCCTCCTTAGGGTCTCACCCTGGGAGGGCAGGGTGCCCCCCAGGGCAGATGCTGACTGCTGCTCTCTGTCCCTCCCACAGCCTGCTGTTCACCAAGGTGAAGCTGGAGCAGGTACTGAAAGGCCCAGAGGAAGCCCTCGTGACCTGCAGACAAATGCTGCGCCTCTGGCAGGCCCTGTACAACTTCTCCCAGCTGGGGTGAGTGGCTGTCCTTGTGCCTCGGGTTTGCCAGAGTTGACAGGCAGTGGTTGCCAGGGCAACCACCCACTGCAGAGTGGCCACATGCCAGGTGGACGGGGGCTGATGAGAATGTTTGAATGAGAGTATGGGACTTGCTGCTCCTGGGGCCTTTCACATCCCTGGTCTAATTTTAACCCTGTGACAATCCTCTGTGAAGTACATAAAGAACCTGTTTAGGAGACTGATGTTGAGAGGGGTGGGAAGCAAGAGAAATCATTTATTGAGCATCTGGGCTGGGTCTGGGGCTTACTAATCCATCTTCCACATCAACTGTTTATAGCTTAGACATCATCGGATTTTATTCTCATCCCAGAGGGGAAACTGAGTCTCGGGAACCTGAGCCACTTGCCTGGTAGATGGCAGTGCTGCGGTTTGAACCTCAGTCTCCCGAGTCACAGCCAATGGAGCCTGGTTCCATTTGAAAGCCAGAAGAAGTGGAAGCAGAATCCTGAAAGAGCCCCTTTCCCCATACTTACCCACTATCTCTATATGTCCTGTCTCCACAGCCTGGGCTCTGGGTTTTTCCCAGGCCAGAGCAGGGCACTCTTATCCAGGCTGAACCTGCAGAAAGTCTTTGTTCAAACCCACTGGGGTGCTGGGGTTCAACTGTGGGCCCTCAGTGGAAAAGCGTGTCATGAGGGCCAGTCTCTTCCTGGTCCTCTGGACCCAACTCCTCTCCCTTCTCAGGGACTGCTGGTTCTGTCATCTCCCAGGACCTCAGGAAACCCAACCCTAATGGATATGTTTGCATCTTTACGGGAACTCTGGGAGCCCAGAGGCTTGCACAGTCCCCAGAGGCAGGTCTCTAGCGGTGGAATTTACAGAGGAGTCCCAGGGTAACCCCATGGAGTAAAGCCCTTGGGCAGGGTGGGGTCAGCCTTCTCCTTGCAGCCTTTGGGCCTGGAAAATTCCAGAGCAGAGCAGAGCAGGACCAATGGTTGGAAGCTGCCAGAAGCAAGCTCTGGGGTGAGGGACTTTCCAGAAAGGAAATGGGGAGCTACCTTGATGATGTGAGGTGAGGGCCAGACTCTAGTGTTCAGATGCACCTCACTCTGCAACCTACTGGCTGTGGCCGCTTGGCAGGTGCACAACCTGACTCCTACAGCCGCTGGAGCTGGCCGGAACGGCCTCTTAGCTGATGGCCTGTTGTCTGCTCATTCAGGCCTCTAGGCACCATAGCCTTGTCTCCAGGTGTACAAGGCCCAGCCTGTGCTCCCCGCTGGGCTGAAGGAAGGACTATGAGATTGAGGGTCTGTGGGGCTTGCCTTGGAGTTTTTTCAAGCTGCCACTGACACCCATCTGCTCTCTAGGGCCTGGTAGAGTTCCTCCCCAGGCCCCCGTTCTGGGGAACTTCAGGGTGGGGCAGGGCTCAGCCAGGGTGCTACCTGGAGACAAAAGGTTGGGACCAAGAGGCCTGGATCCAAAACCCTCCAGGCTTTCCCAAGATCAGGAAACATTCTTTCCCAACCTGGTGCCACCAGGCAGAAACTGGGGCTTGTGAAATAAGTTGGGGCAAGTAGGGATCAAGGCCAGAATCCACATCCCGAGGGTCTGTCCTACCCTGTCCCACCTCCTGCTTTGCCCCCGCCTGTCCACGCTGCCCCTCAGGCCCCGCTCAGATGCCCCTCCTCGGGGTGCCTCATCCTTCCGCTCAGCCCTCTCCATCTGGGTCGTGCTGACTGCTCAGCCTCGGCTTTCTCTTCTCCCCATCTAGCTGCCAGATGCTTTAGGGCAGGAGCAAAGCTGTGTATTGGCCTAGAACCAAGTGGCAAAAGGTGCCCAAGGTGGGCTGTTTCTGGAGACCTGGCAGAGGCCCCCTCAGGGCTGGGAGGGCAGGTGGGCAAGAAGCTGGATTGTGGATCTGCTCCACGCCAGCGGGTGCTGGGCGCCTGCCCAGATTACCTCCTGTGCTTCTGGCAGCGGCCTCGTGAGATTGACATTCTCACGCTCATCTCAGGACAAGACCACTCATCGTGAGAACTCGCCTTGGAAGGTACTCTGCCAAGGTCACACAGCCAAGAGGCGGTGGGCCTGTGGTTTTAACCCATTGTCTCTGGCACCCCCCTCGGTGCCTCCTGGGAGGGGGAAGAGGGTGGAGAGGACAGGAGCCAGCCCTGACACCCTGTGCTTTTGTGGGTAGTTTCCTCCAACGCCCGCAAAGATGGCTGTGCCTCCACAGGCCCACATTTCTGCCACTGTGAGTCTGTGTCAGGATGGCAAGGATACCCCAGGCTCTGGCATTTTTGGGGGACCATCGTCTTGGCACCCCTCTGAAGGGGAGAAGCATCCGGGCTGCGCCTGCCTTCTCTCTCACCTCTTCCACCCCAGTCCTCCTCTCAGCTTCCCCAGTCAGGGGTTCAAGGGCCACGGGCATCCCTGGCAGTGGGCAGGGATAGCTGAAGGGCACAGCAGGCTGTGCTGCCTTTTTGAGTGGGGGGCTTCCCCTGCTCCCACTCTGAGAAAGAGGACCCAGTTTGGGAGCTGCAGGAATCTGGGGAATCGGGGTACAGAGGACTGGGTCACCAGGCTTGTTTATCTGCCATGCCAGGGGCCACCTTTGGCTCTTCTGAGGCCACCCTGGCAGCCAAGGTAGGGTGCCCAAGACAGAGTGGCATCTGGGCCTTCCTTCCTGAGGGGAGGTGAGCTGGGGTCACTTCAGGTGGCCTTTGAGGACCAGGCCTTCCTTGGAAGCCTGTCCTCAGTACCTGCTCTGGGCCTGGCCCTCAGCTAGACATTGCGAGAGCAACAAATGTAGACAGGCCTCCCCATGGCCTGGGGAAGGGGGAGGCTTCTGGTCAGAAAGGGAGAGTCGGACCCTTAGCATCTGTGGTGCGGGGAGCCATGCTGAGAGAAAACAGGGACAGAAGGCCCGTGAGGGGCAGGGGAGCCACAGGCGGCTTTCTAGACTGAGGAGGGGCCTGGGGATGGGGGGCTGAGGTGGAGGGAGAAGTACAGCGAGAACATTGTTGATGGTCCACCGGCTTGGGCTCTGTTCATGAGCCTGAACTCTGAGCCCCAAAGCCGGCCTGGCAGGAGGCACCCTCATCCTCCTTGCCAACCCCCCCTCATCACTGGGGCCTGGCCCTCTCTTGCCTTCCAGAGGCCTGGAGAAGGATGGCAGCCTCGGCGAGGGCGTCATGCTGAAGAAGCAGAGTGGCCTACACCTGACTCTGCCGGATGTCCACGATGCAGACTCCGGTAAGAAGGTGCCCATGGGCAGCTGCCCACATGGGCCCACGGCTCCCCCTCCCCGCCAGGGCACCAACGGGAGCGTGGCCCCTTCCCGGGCTGCTCCTTGTGGCCGCTGCCCAAGGGCCTGTGCTAAGGAGCTGCCATCCGGGTCTTTCAGGGCCCGTTGTGGCTCTGGGGCAGGATGGCTGCTAGGCCCGGGGTGGGAAGTGGACAGCTGAAGTGGGCCAGGGAGAGCCCCTACCTCCCGGCTGGAGGCGAAGGGAGAGGGACTACCGGGGTGAATGACAGCTGTGGAGCACACAGGCTACAGCCTGAGGTCAAGGCCCGCCATCCTAGCGTCCCTCAGTTGGAAGGAATGAGCTGGGCTTATATTTATAACTCTAAGCCCAAAGCTGACTTTTAACTGAGGACCTGAATAAAGCAGCATGCATTCCTCAAAGACACAAGAATTAGTCACAGGAATGGAAGTGTGGGGGAGTCGGGTTTAATGGCCTTGCTCATTTTTTCCACGTCCGCGGCCATGAACCAAGTCGCGCCTTGGTTGTAAAGCGACGGCGTTGGTTTCCGGTGCCAGGCCCAGCACCTGGCCCGACAGGTGCACCGGAGGAGTGCGGTGCAGGCAGAGCTGCTGGCTCCCAGGAGAGGACCGTGCAGGAGGGCAGCGCGCTCTTGAATGAAAGAGGGAGGAGCCACAAACAAATAATTAGGATTCCTTGTGCATTGGTCTTACACACTGACACCGGCTGTGGTTTGCCCTGAGGTCTTCTGAGTTGATGGGAGCTTTTATTGCCTCGGAGAGAGAGAAGGTGCTTTCATTTCGCCTGCATGTGAGTTGTAAATGCCAGCAGCTCATATGTCCTGACCAACCGGGACATCCCCGACCCCGGACCCAGAGCTGCCCCAGGGAGGGTTCTGCCGAGGGCACGGGGTCTGGCCTGAGCTGCTACCCCAATGTCCTTCACAGCCTAACCTCATTTTTTGTGTAGGAAGTAATCATAGGCTCTTGTGAAAACAGTAAAAATAGAAAAAGGAAGAAAAATCACCCGTAATTTTCCCACCCAGTCCTTAATAAAGTTCTTAATTCACTTTTTCCTATGCCCCTATTCCTTTTTTATAGAAACCCGGTCATTCTTTCTCTCTCCTGTCTGTAGAATCTGGACATCTTTCCACATCGATGTCCATATCTGTGCATTACTATTTGAATGACTGCATAGTCTTGCATGATTACACCCTCACTTGTTTTTTGTTTTATATTTTTGGGTTATTTTTGTTGTTAATCCTCACCCAATTATATTTTTCCCATTAATTTTTAGAGAGTGGAAGGAAGGAGGAGAGAGAAACATTGATGTGAGAGAGACACATCAATTGGTTGCCTCCTAGATATGCTCTGACCAGGGCCAGGGATCGAGCCTGCAACCAAGATAATGCCCTTGACGGGAATAGAACCTTGGATCCTTCAGTCTGTGGGCCCGTGCTCTAGCTACTGAGCCAAACCAGCCAAGGCCCTCACTTGTTTTTAATCAGTCCCTGTTGTTGGACATTTGGTCATTGCGGTCAGTGATTGTGTTACTTGGGGATAGACTCCTCGAAGTGGGCCACCTGTTGCCCCTCTGAAGTTCCTCTCCCCAGCTCTGGGTCAGGGATGAGGTGGGTGGGCCCTAACTGGTGGCTCTGTGAGCTCTTTGCCCTGATTCGGTGGCCCCGTCTCTCTCTGAGGGCCTGGGGTGTGTGGCCCTCTGACTCTGCTGCTCAACCTCTCCCCCTCTTGCTCTGCAGGCTCTCGGCGGGCATCGTCCATCGCAGCCTCGCGGCTAGAGGAGGCCATGTCGGAGCTGACTATGCACAGCTCTGTTTTGAAACAGGGCCCCATGCAGCTGTGGACCACACTGGAGCAGATCTGGCTCCAGGCTGGTGAGTGTCTCTTCCCCCCAACCCACCCCTGGTGACAACCACCCACCTCCCGACAGGCCACCAGGCCCTCAGCTGTATCCTGCCCTGGAGAAGGGAATACAGGGGGTAGGGACCGCTGACAAGCTCACATGGGCTTGGCCCAGGAGAAGTCACTTTGTCTGTCTGATCATGAGTTTCCTCCACAAATGGGGACAGCGCCTGCCTATCTGGGAGAGGCTCTCCGGCAGCAAATACAATGGGAGAGGATTGGAGGAAGGGCCACAGGACAGTTTTAGACTCAACAGCAGGTCCCATCCCTTCTTCCTGCCCAGCTTCTCCTGGGTCAAACTGGTTAGGCTCAGGCCCCCAGAGCTCACGGAATAGCCAGAGAAGAAGGGGTGAGGTGTGGCTGCCCCCAGGAAGGGCAGGTCTGGTGTAAAGTTCATTGAAGGCTGAGGGCTGGTTAACAGCTGGTTAACAGTAGGGTTGCCATTCAGGAGTCAATCCCTCTTGACAGCTCATCTGCACTATTGCCACCATGGAGCGTGAAGGTCAGTGTTGTGGGGGAAGAATTGCAAAGAGCTGGGTTCTAATGCCAGCTCAGTCCTGCCTGTCCAGGGTAAGGCAGTTAGCGCAGTAGGTGCTCAGTAAATGGTGTTTGACTTCTGTCTCACCCGAGGTAGCTGTGGACCTAGAGAAAGCATGGCGCCCCCAACAGTGAGTGTCCTTGGTGCCAAGGAGTGACTCACTGGACTGACTGAAAATTTAATCAGACGGTGGTGTGAAAGGTGGATTAGAGTAAAAAGAGAGGGCCAAGGCCCGAGATGTGCCTGAGATAAAATGGCAGCAGCCACAGAATAGAAAAGAAGGGGATAGAATAAGTGGAATCCTAAAAATGAGCCAGGCCCACCCACATGCTGCCTCCTTGTTTGAGATCTGCCCAAGTGAAGCTCCTCACCTTTTCCCCCATTACCTTCCTACCTGCCCCCTCTCTATAGGAAGTGGTGCCGGTAGCCCCCAAGGGAGGATGGAAAAGAGACCCAAAGTAGATAATCAGTCCTGGGATGTGTGGGTTTTGCAAGTTAGAGTTAGACCGTGCCTAACTGGGAATCTAAGGTTTCCTGCTGCATGGAGTTCACATATGGACACATTAGTATGCAGGACGCCCCCACTCTCCCTACCGCAGGTTCTGAATCTGGGGGAAAAAGTTGGACCAGGATTCGCAGAAAGGCAAGGAAGCATTTTAATAATGCAAATATTGTCCCAGTTACTATATCAGGGTCCGCCAGGATGCAAGGGATGTGTAGGGGCTGTGCTCCAGGGTCAACTATTTGCATTTCAAGTAGGACAAAGAGTGCTGAAAAATAAAGGGGAATCATAGACAAGGCCTTCTTTTAGGTAAATATTGCCCTGTTTTCTTCTAAGAGATGGAGCCACTGGGGCTCTGGCGGGGTACGCTGGGGGCCTCATCAACTCAGAGGACCCCGTCAGTAACACCATGACCCATTCCAGGGGCTCCCGTGGCCTTTTGTTTTAATGAGGTGTCTTGTTTACAGCCATCAGCAAACGAACATATTTTTGCATCTTACAAGCCTACTTGCATGTCGCAGATATGCTCCTTTATGCTAGGAGTGCCAGAATGTTCTGGTAACTCCGAGGAAGGTTAAAAGCGTTCCTGAAGCCTATAATTGAATGTGGGGATATCGCTATGGACACATGCTCTTCAATAGTTGGCACATTAGCCTTTGTTTCCTGTACAACAGGAAGCATTATCCTAGACATTCAGCCCTCAGTGAACTCTGAGAACAAAGTCTGAGCACTCTGAACGCGGTGCCTGGGAGGGCGGGCAATGTGGCATTTAGGAGACGGGTCTGGGTACGTGTGACCAATGCAGTGGCTTCCACAGGGTGGACGCTTCATTTTCTCACGCAGCAGCTCAGGGATGCAGCCTTGTCTGGGATGACAACTCTGCTCTCCCTGAGTCACTCTTATTCCTGTGATCCCACATGGCTCACCACCACATCCACATTCAAGGCATAACTGGGAAGAGAGGGAGAAGGGGACAGCCCCTTCCTTAAGGACATATGCTGGAATTTGCACACATCATTTCCCGTTACAACCCCATTGGTCAGGACTTGGTCACATGACCACACACCTAGCTGCAAAGCACTGTGGGAAATGGCATTATTCATACGCCCCATTAAAAAAGCGGGGGATCTGTCACTACAAAAGATAGGGGGACTAGACTGGTGGACAGCTGCCACAGCCAGAGGGGAAATGAGGACTTGTCCTAGATCTTCCATTCTGCACATGAGAGAATTCTGAAGCCATCTGCATCCCATGAGCCCTCTCCCCTCTCCTGGCCTGGACCATCATTGCCAGCAAGCATGTGCTGGCAATGGATGAAGGGCTGCCAGGAGCAGATCACCACGGCAGCAACTTCTCCCTAACTACTGCCCTTCCCTTCACTTGACCCGACCTAAGAGTATTGACCTCAGCCCCACCACCCACCACCTAATGATTCCGCCAGCTGCAGCAATTTTGCAGGAAGGGAAAATATCTCCCTTTATCATTTTGGACTGAGCTAATCTCCCTGGTTTGGTTCAAGATAAACTGCATCCCAGTCTGTGCTGGCAGTAAGTTTCATCATTAAGCCTCCTCTTAGGTTGGGAAATGCTGTGTCCTTCCTCTCCCTATTCTGATTCTCCTCCCCTCCCCTGTCCCCCTGTCCTTCCCATTCCAGTCTGATGTGAGAAGGGTCACCACTTGAGAGGAGAGTTTCAGGAACGTTGCCTCTGACAGCAGGTCTGTGTGAGAATGGAGAAGCACCAGCCCCATAGATGCTCCAGGATCCTGTGTGGACCTGGCGGTGCTTTCAGGAGAGCAAGATGGCTCGCCCCCCTCTCACAACTGCTCAGTCTCGGGAACTGACTGTGCTGGAGGGAGGCAGATGGGTGGAGAGAGAGTTCCCTTGCCTGGAGGTCCCTTGCCAGGTGGGGGAAGTTGGCCCACATCTCAGCTCCCAAACAGTCAATTCACACTGCCTGGGCACTGGCGCCCTCGCTCTTTAGCTGGCCCTGCAGGGGGGAGCTGCCCCTGCTGGTAGCTGGGGAACTCGAGTGGGGCCACCAGGGCTGTGTCTAAAGGTCATATTTGTTATAAAAGGATGGTCGAGCAAGAAGCTGTCTTACCCTTGAAATCCCGCATTGCCTCGATCCTCCTCATTTCTCCTCATGCCTTTCCTTCTTCCACTCTCTCCTCTTTTCCCATCACCCTCTCCCTCCTGCCTTCTTTGCCTTCTTCCCAAGTCCTCTCTTCCCTTGTTACGGTTTTTTCTCTCCCTCCCCCGTCCCCTCCCTTCCCCCCGTCTGTCATTCACTCCTTGCAGGGTCCTGGGTTAGTGAGGAGAGTGCTCTCAGAACCGGGAAGTCAGGAGCCCAGGCCCACGCAGTCTTCATTCCCTTGTGACTGAGGCACATCATGTCTGTCTCTGGGTCCTAGGGGAGGCGGGTCTCAGACCAACCCAAAACCCCTTTAGACCTTTGGATTGTCTGCTATCTCCAGGGCCTTCTCGCCTCTGGCACCTTAGGTCGTCTCTTCCATTTCTCCCTCATCCTCCCCCACCCTTCCCCCTTTATTCTGGATGTTGATATGTCATGTGGCTGCTCCTTGGGGAGGATGCTTATTGCCTTTACGGCAGTTTTGGTGACTCTCCTGGGGCTGAGGTGGATTCTTTTTAGGCCCTAACTTTTACTTCTTTCCTGCCTTGGGAGGTGGGGGAAGGGGCGCTTCTGTCCTTTCTGAGCTTTCTCAGAGGGTCTCCATCTAGCCCGAGAAGGTTCCCAAAGGGCCAAGGCTCCTCAGCTCACCCAGCTCCTCAGCTCATGACCAGGATGTGCAAAGAGTCCATCCCCCAGCCTCGGGGGATGAGGCCTCGGTGTTGGCAGGAATGGCAGGAAGCCTGAAGCCAGCTCTGGGTGCAGGGCTAGCAGGATGCCTTAGAAAAAATAATAAAAGGGACTGTTGCAAAGCTCCAGGGAACAGATGTTTTCCATTTGGAGTCTGCCAAGAGAAAGCACAGAGGGGGGCGGGTGGAGGGCGATGGAGGGAAGAGGAAGAAAAGCCGAGGCCGACAGGCAAGGCAGCAAGTCAAAAGCAGGCAGAGAGGGAGGTGGGAGAAGTGAGAACACCAGAGTAAGGAGAGAGAGAAGGAACTGAGAGGATCGGAGAGGGCCCTCTGACGCTGAGGGCCCCTGCTTCCTGGGGTGATGACACAACCATGAGAATCAAGGAAAGTTCAGTACCAGTAAGTGCTCATCTGGCGCTGGCCGGGGAGGCTGGGGTGCGTGGCTCGGGGCCCTGGCAGCCAGGGCCTGATGGTAGAGGATCAGGGCAAGGTTGGGCACAATGTGACTGCCTCCTTGGTAAAACTGCCCAGGGACAGTGTAGGACAAAGGGGTACACTGCAGCCCCCAGACCTGTGCGCAGCAGGTCAGAGGCCCCACCCTGGAGGCTGGGCCTGCCAGGGGTTGTCTGCGAGGCCCCCAGCAGCCCTCAGAAGACCTGGCTTCTCTGGCTCCGCTCTGTCATCTGGTTTCCTGTCTGGCTGGTAATGAAGTCCATCGGATCAAAGCAGCCCTACCTACGTCCAGGGCATGCTTTCTGGTGTACGGACAGCCTGGCGAGGCCCAGGGCCCCAAGGAAGAAAGGAGGTGTGAGGATCCTGTAATTGAAATCTGTTGATGTCAAGACACCGAGGACTCCCCCTGAGGGAGGGATCAGGGACTGCCTCCAGAGATGAAGCTCAGGAGACAGGGTGGCAAGTTGTAAACAGCTTAATGAGCCGTGCCAGGGCCAGGTGGCCAGGTGGGCCAGGCCTGGCGGGCCTGCCGGAGCGAGATCTCGGGGAGCGGGGAGCCAGCCTCTGAGCTGAACTCCTGGCCAGGGAGGAAGCTGCCCTGTGGGCTGGTGCAGGAAGGCCGCCCCACCCCCAGCACGCACACTACACACTTCCTCCTGCTTCTCCTCTTTGTGATCCTGGGACCTTCTGCCACAAGAGAGCTGGCCCTCCAGGCTCGCACCGCCCCCCTTCGCCTCTCTGCCAGTCCAAGTGCCCCGGGCCTTCAGGCCTTAGCTCAAACGTGGCCACCGCCAGGAAGACTCCCCTACCCCCACCGGCACAGCTGGCCTGACCCCTTCTGCGGCCCTAGAACACTCAGCATTGGCACTTGTCACCCCACTGCCCGGATCACTCCCGTGGTTCGGTGGCTTCACTCCTTCTCCTCGTGGGAGGGCCAGGCGCACCGCCCTGTTGCACATTGGACACTTAGCTAGGGAGGCAGCCTGCTCAGAGCTCCAGGCAGCAGCCCCAGAAGGGAACACAGCGGCCGAGCCGAGGAGAGCCGAGGCTGAGAGAGCCAAACCCCTGGCCGCTGGGCCAGCCCTTCCCGGGCTCACCTCCCCACGTTTTCTGTCTTGGGGAATCTCCCGTTCAGGGAACAAGAGCCTGCAGCTCTCTTTCTAGCCTTGTCATGGGAGCCTGGCTCCTGTGTTAAACTCACTCTCTCCTTCTCCCAGATACTCATCTCCCCTGAAGAAAGAGAGTACCTTGCTGAGAGAGCCCTGGGTGGTATTTTAGGAAGTGGCAAGCTACGCGATTACACAATGAGCCTCGGGCAGCATTCTTCCTCAGCACCCAAGTGCAGTGTGCTGCAGTCCCGGCCTTCACTAGGTCTCCTTCCTGCTTCTTGTCGTAGCAGGAAGATGGGGTGCCGGAGCCCGGGTTCTCTGCCTCTTTCTGGGAGCTTCCTTTGGGATGTCTGTTATCCAACCCATCCCAGCACTAAACTGAACTTGTGTAACCTCAGCCCCCAGCCTTTGCTGGGAACAGCCAAGCTCTGCCTCCCTTCTGTGCTCCCATCTGTGCGCCGGCACCAGCCTCAGGAAGGGGCAGCCGGGTCCGGGACAGAGAGCTGTGATGCTGAAAGCACCTGCTGTAGGTGTGTGCCAGCGCCGGAGGGTTTGAAATGTGTGTTTACGTGGGCTGGACAGGGATTGAAGAAACGGCCCCGTTTTCCACTGATCTGGGGACGAAGGCAAAGTGGTTGTGGGGCAGACTGTGCGTGTGTCTTCTGCTCTTCTCCGTGTGGAAGGAAGTCCCCAGAGGGAGGCCAGGAGCTGCTGGGGCCCCAGCCCTGCCTGGCCCCTTCCCACTGAGGGATGGGAGTGAGGTCCTCCCTCTCAGCCTACTTTGTTACAGTGGGGCTCCTGAGAGCATTGCCTCCTTCCCAGACTTGTGAGGATTAATGAGAGGCGATGCTCGCACAGTCGGGCCTTGGCCCACAGGCAGCTCTCCGTCCGCGCCGGCTGCTCGGTAGCTGTTACTCCCCTGGGTGGAGCCCAGCTCTGCCCCTTCACAGGGCTCCCTGGGCCTCTCTCCTCCTCGCCTGCCCAGCCCAGCCTTGGTGAGCACTGTCAGCCTCCCTCCCCGGAGACCGAGAGCGGGAACAGAGCCACCATTTCTGCTTCCACCCCCGGCCCCGGACAAGGAACAAGTGCAAAAGGCCCCGAAGCAGTCAGTCACCTGAGCCACCGCCGATCTCCAGGAGATGTCCCTGTGCCCTTGTGGGCTCTGAAGCCCATGGCCCGATGCAAACCCTGGCTCCCAACGTACTCTCCCTGCAGCCTCAGGCGCGTTCCCTACCCTCTCTGTGCCTCAGTTTCCTCCTCCCTCAAGCAGGGCGATAGAAGGGCCTGCTCTACAGGGCTTTGTGGGCACGGGCTGACAGGGTCTCTGTGGGGCACGGAGCACAGTGCCTGGCACGGTGAGCACACAGAGTGAGCCTGTCCTGTGCCGGCTGGTGCGGATGGTTCCCGTCGCCTGAGACACAGGCTCCCGCAGAGGGGCCACTGCCTCCGGCTTTCCCGCACCCTCACCTCCCACTGTCCTTCTGGTTCCAACAGCTGAGCTGTTCATGGAGCAGCAGCACCTCAAGGAGGCCGGTTTCTGCATCCAGGAGGCCGCGGGCCTCTTCCCCACCTCGCACTCGGTACTGTACATGCGGGGCCGGCTGGCCGAGATGAAGGGCAGCCTGGAGGAGGCCAAGCAGCTGTACAAGGAGGCGCTCACGGTGAACCCCGACGGCGTGCGCATCATGCACAGCCTGGTGAGTCAGCCCCCTGGGGGCACTCCTCTCCCCTCACCCCCTCCCTGCCTGCCAGTGCCTCGCTGCCCTGTTCCCTGGTGTCTGCGGGGACGTGGCTTCCTGGCTGCTCCATTGGGAAAGGCTGAGCTCCTTCCTTCAGGGCCAGGGCATGTCCCTTCGGCCAGAGCCTGCCGGAGAGGATGAAAGAATCCGGGAGGAGCGGGGGGGCATATGTGTGACTTTTCGCTGTAAGTTTCCATAGGGCAGTCTAGCCCCACGGGCTGTCACTGTTACACATCAGACCCTCGCCCAGATACCGGAGACTGTGGATAACAAATTGCTCTTCTCTGGGATGGGGGGTCTTTCGGCCTCCCTGACCATTGGGCTGCCTTCCCCATTTCAGAGGGGTTTCCTCGGCAGGATTCAGCAGATATCCCAGGGTAGGCTGTCATTGAAAATGACCCCTGGGACTCCCCAATCTCAGGTCATGGTGCTCAGAACTTGGGTGCCCAAGGCTCAGTGGCCTTCCTGTGGGAGGCTCGGAGACTGGGAACGGAATGCTGGTGCTCAGGTCCAGGCCTTGCCGTCTCTCTGGGTGATCATGGGCAGGTCACCACCTTCTCTGAACCTCGTTTTTACTTACCTATGCAGTGGGGTTCTCTAACAGATAGTACCATGGACCCTAGGTGTAACTTCTTTCCCCTGCCTTCCTTAGCTGCTTCCAGAGAGCGGGTATCAGGATAAATGAGGCGATCTGAAAGCGTGCAGGCCTGCATAGTGACTTTTAAAGTATGATTTAGGAGCCCACCGTTGGCAACAGAGACTTCCTGTCCCCTTTGAGAGCTCTGAGAACAGCCTCGAGAGGCCCGCTAACTAACGTCTGCCTCATGGAAAACATCGAAGGACCCGGGGAATGGCTGCAGGGGCTGCAGGGCCAGCATTGCCAGACGAGGTTGACTGGTTGCGAGTAGAAGCTACAGGGAGTTAGACTCCAGCTCAGAGTCAGGAAAACTGTATAACTCTTTAGAAAAAAGTCCGTGCATGAACTTGGGAGTCTTCTGGTGAGGATGTAGCCAAGAGAACAGAAGCATCGTGTAGGGGTAGAAGCTGGACAAGGTCGTCTTTATAAGGTCCTTTCCACCCCGAGAGCCCTTGAAAGCAGGTCAGAACGGAGATTCCCGCCTCCCAGTTTCTTAAAGGCTTCCTAGCCGAGGCCCAACGCCAATGTCCGTGTCCGTGGAACAAAGCCTGCACGGTGACATCACTCCCTCGCCCATGTCCCCTCCACATGGCTCCGTGCTGCCTCCCAGTCTGCTCAGCAAATGTTTGTTTTATGCCAGGCACATCCTCCTTCCTCCCACAGCTCAGACATGAGCTCCTCTGATGAATGCCTCCCCGGAGGTCACATCCAGAAACTTGATTAGGGCGGTGGGAGGGAGGGAGGATGTGGGCTATGTCATTAGGCCGGCAGCCAGGCAGCGATGTCTGCTTGCCTCTGTGCTCGCGGATATGAGCCTGCCGTTCAGATCCTGAAGCCCGACGAAATCCAATAACAAGTACAATTTTGAAGTAGCAGCGTGCCATTTTTCATTTATGCTTATTATTGTTTGTAGCTGTTTCCCTGAAATGGAAGCAGTTTCCAAGGGTGAGTTTCCATGGTAACGGGAGAGCTGTCTAGAAGTGGCTTCCTGAAATGGTCCCTCTTCTCTTCCCGGGGTGCCTGGCCGTGGTGATGAAATTGGGGCGAGTTGGAGGCAGGCCTGCCACGTTTAAAGTTACCAGCAGCCAGAGGGGCTGTCTGCTCCAGCGTGGGCAGACCATCCCCTTCCACACGCTCCGTTCCTGCCAGCACTTTATGCATATGCATACAGAATAGCAAATTTCAAGCCCGGGGAAGATTTACCAAGCGCTCTTTTCCCAGAGACACAGGAACACTTTGGCAGGTTGATCTCCGGCATTCCCCAAGCTAGTGTCTCCCCGGTACTGACCTCAGACTCAGGACATGGGGCCTCAGCCTGGCTCTGGCCCTGATTCCTGTAGATGACTTAGAAAAAGGCACATTTGACGTCAATGCTCCTGATGTCTCCCTTCATAAATGAATAATGATCTGCATCATCCCTAGACCCATGTTCTAATCAAAGGAAGCATCACATGTGAAAGTGCTTCTAAAAATCCACAATGCATATCAGAGAAGACAAAACAGCCGCTATGCCACCACTCCAGTCCTTCCCCCGTGACAGACATTACCAATCAATCACAGCACTTTTCCCCACCACTGAGCACAGATGTGACATTGGGATATTTTCCCCATGTCACACCATGACAGCAGCACTACTAGTTGGCCTAAGTCAGTTTGTCATGTATCTAAGGAAGTTACTGTCAAAACAATTGGTAGAGAATGAGAGCACACCTCCATTATCTGAGCCTTTGTGAACTCTAGGGGTGGGGCATCCCTGGAGAAGTATCCAGAGAAAAGAGCATGGGAGGGAACTGGTACTCCCTCTATCCACCCCCCACCCGCCCCCACACACACGCACATACACACATACCCCACATGGAGTCATAGAAAAGGCAGGTTTCCCAGGGAGGGCATGGTAAAGCCAGGATTAAGGACATCCAGGGGCCACTGTGGCTTTGTGAGGACACTGGCCCCTGAGAGCACGGCCACAGCCTGGGCTGAAAGAGCTCTGGGTCCCTCATGAACCCCCTGAGGTCATGGTTGAGACCCACTCCCTGAGGTCTGGAAAGAGGAAGGTGAAGATAGACTCCGTGCGCCTTGCCAGGTCAGGCCTGGCTCTGCAGTTCTTAGCACAGGATCACCAAACAGGAGGAGGCCAGCCTCCAGGCCTCCCTGTGGCCTCTCCCTGGGGCAGGCTGGAGATAGCCTTCAGGAGCCAGGGTTCAGGCATTTCTAAGAATATGAACTTGGGCCCGGACTCAGGTTCTCTCCCCATCCTGCTGCCCTCCTGCCCCGAATGTGACAGAGACCTTTCCATGGTCTGGCTCCACTCAGGCTTTTCAGGTCAGGCAGGAAAGAGGCACCTCCTTGGCAGTGCCCACAGCAGAGTCTCAGAGGAGCCTGTGTCCTCCAGCCCTGGTCCTGCAGCTGCCACCTGTGCCAGACACACGGAGGCCAGGCTGCTTCGAGAGAGTGCCAAAGCACAGGCAAAAGGGGCATGCTCTCTGCAGACAGACATTCCCAGTGAACTCTTGGTTGGCAGCAGGTCCGACAGTTTCTGCCGGCTGGGTCCCAGCCTCCCCTCCAGGTATCAGGAAACCCCACCCACTCGCCCTGCTGTACAGAAGTTCATTTACTGGCAGAAGAGTCTAGTTAAGAAGGCAGAGCCTGAACTTCACCTGCCTGGCCCTGAGGAGACATGAGAAAGAAAGCGGGGTCCTTCCCAAGATCAGCAGAGGAGTTGGCCCCTGGGTGCTTTCCAGAGAGAGCTGGCAGGGGTATCAGGCAGAGAAGGATCCCCAGGCTGCCTGCACCCGTCTCTTAGAGCCTGTCTCTGCCCTGCCCCTCCCAGGAGCCCTTCTGTATCGCCAAGAGAGCAGGGTGCTTGGGGGTGGCAGAGAGCCCCCATGTGGCTGATGGACTGGCCACGTCAATGAGAGCCCCTCCCCCAAAAGGGGTTGCATTGAAGTCACCTGACCTTAATGAGAAGAGGGTCCCTAGCCCTGGCTACCGACCAACTCACTCTCCCTGCCTTCCCCTTGGCTGAGTGGGAGTATGGATGCTTCGATGCAGCCTGTCTCATTACAGAGAAAGCCTCAGCCATCAGTGGGCAGGTATGGGTGCATTCCTGCCACCTGCATTTCTGGGTGGCACCCCACCCTTCTCTCCCAGGGGCACACTCTTAGGGAGGGGTTCCCCGGCCATGCTTTTTTCTTGGGACAGAGCTCCAGGTTCCTGCTGCCCCATATCCCCAGAGTCCTTTCCTCCTCAGGCACTCCAGCAGCAGGAAGATTGCCCTGGGGGAGCTTCAGCTATGATGTAATTCCCAGAGATCTAATTTCTGAAGCAGTCATGGCCACGTGACCTGGCCTCTTCTCCCTCCAGATGCCCCTGGAAGGACGGGTAGACAGCGTTTGCATCCACTGCCCTCTGATGAGAGCATGGCCGCAAATGAGTCCCTGCATTGGTTCCCTCATGCTCCCAGCGTGAGGCTGCTGTCTTGTTTTTGAAGTGAGTTGTGGGGGGGTTAAGGGCATGGCCAGTCCCAGATGACCCCAAAGCCTCTTGCCCCCCATTCCCCAGACTAGGGCATGCTGCAGCACATCCCAAGTCCCCAGAATCCCCCAGCACATCCCTGGCCTCCCCCAAAGTGGGTTCTGAGTCAGTGAGGCCCAGGGCTCTGTCTCACCAGCCCTGAGGTTCTGGGCAGGCGTTTGCAGGTGCTCCAGGATCCAACAGGAAGTCTCTGCTCTCTAAGGCCTAAGAGGTGAACTGTATCTACACAGAGCTCCCCCGCACCCCATTACCCTGCCCTGGCTGGGCCATCCCGTCCTGGAGGCAGGACCAGACAGTAAAGGTGACTCATCTAAGTCAGACACCAACCTGCCAGCCCTCCAGCTATGGGGGCACAGAGATTTCTTCCCGTCACCAGCTCAGTTTTCTATCACATGAAGAAAATAATGCAAGCCCTTGTGAGCTCAAGGAGATAGTTTTAGGGCTCAAATGAGTTGAGACCCGTGGAAAGATATGTTAACCTCAGGCGTTATTTTTCACCATTTGACCAGGCTGCTATGGGTGAGGGTCATTGGCCCAAATTTCCTTGCTCTGCCAGGTGGCCCATAGTGTCATCAGAGTGCTAAAGAGGCAGGGAGGGGGTGCTGGGCAGGTGAGGGCGGCTCCCCTGGCACTGGGTTTCGGAAAGCCTTAGGCTTGTGCACGAGCTGAAGTGCACGCCAGCCCCGTCGACCAGGAAGTGGAAAGGAAGCTGCCAGCCTGTCCTGTTCAGACCTCAGAGCTACCTTTGCGGTTGCCTCCGGAGCTGGTTGGCTGGGACAGTTGTTAA